GGGGAGGGGGAGGGGAGGGGAGGGGAGGGAGCGTTTAGGAGGCTGCGTCAGGTGTTGGTGTGTGTGTTTAGGAGGCTGCGTCAGCTACTGGGTGTACAGAGTCTGAACGAATCTAGATAAGGTTACTCCAGGTCTCAAAAGTGAAATCTGGCCTCCCCTCCCGTGGGGGCCTAATTCCATTCTGGGTTGCCCCATTCCTCGGCTCCCTCTCTGCTTTCTGCTGAGTCATGCTCCTGGGTCCTCTCACTTGCTCCCTATTACCGGCTTTAGTTTCGCTCCTCCCTCACCCAGCCACCTCTCCCAGGATGTGAAGATTAGGGTGAGGAGGGCATCTTGGCAAGTGAGGAGGTGAGGTCTGGGGGGACTAACAAATCACTGAATTGTGAGTAGCTGCTGATTCCCAGGTGTCTGAGCTCCTGGACTGTGGTGGCCAATGGGGATGGGACTGTTTTTTTTTTTTTTTTTTTTTTTGGGGTACGGGGGCCTCTCACTGTTGTGGCCTCTCCCATTGCGGAGCACAGGCTCCGGACGCGCAGGCTCAGCGGCCATGGCTCACGGGCCCAGCCGCTCCGCGGCATGTGGGGTCTTCCCGGACCGGGGCACGAACCCGTGTCCCCTGCATCAGCAGGCGGACTCTCAACCACTGTGCCACCAGGGAAGCCCTCTTTTTTTTAAAAAAAATAAATTTATTTTTTTGTCTGCGTTGGGTCTTCGTTGCTGTGCGTGGGCTTTCTCTAGTTGCGGCAAGCTGGGGCTACTCTTCACTGCAGTGCGTGGGGTTCTCATTGCCGTGGCTTCTCTCACGGGCTCTAGGCGCATGGGCTTCAGTAGTTGTGGCACACGGGCTTAGTTGCTCCGCGGCATGTGGGATCTTCGAGGACCAGGGCTCGAACCCGTGACCCCTGCATTGGCAGGCGATTTCTTAACCACTGCGCCACCAGGGAAGTCCCGGGATGGGACACGTGATTCTGAAGTGTCCCTGCCCCACCCCCAAGGGTACTGGTGGAAAGGCAGTGGGGTGAGTAGGGAAGGAGGAACACTGTTGTTATTATTTCAGACTGCAGTTCAGAGAAATGACGGCTACTTTCTCGTCATGGGGCTGTGAGCAGGGTTTCTTAGAGGATGTGGGAAACCGGTCTTGGGGCGGGCAGAGCGAGGTCGGTTTTATGGACCCAGGAAAATCATGAAGCACCCCCTTCTACCTCTCGTATCCCTTCTACTTCCTGAGTCAGTCAGTGGCCCTTGACTACACATTAGAATCACCTGGAGAGGTGAAAAACACAGCATCTGGAGACTGAATTCAGCTGGTCTCCAGTAGAACTTTTTTCTTCAACTCCCCAGATGGTTCTAACATGTAGCCAGGGCTGAGGAGGTCTCTGAAGTAAATGTTTCTTCCTGGACCTCAGGAGGGCTGGAGGCCTGCTTTCTTAGGTTACAAGATCATGAGAATCCTGGGTGTTTCCCTACCAGTGTCCTGACTACCCCCTCCTTTACAGCAAGACAACCTTAGCCCACAACTGTGTTCTTATTTAACAGCTGGGAGAGCAGGCCTGGAGGAGTTAGAGAACTTTCCCAGTGTGTCCCCAAGACCTCACGGATGACCACCACAGTCATAATTTCTCTGTTCTAAAGAAATGACTTCTCCCCGCCCTATGTACCATCCCGTGTACCTTCTTGGACACACCTTATGCAACTAGGGGAAGGAATTTAGAACTTGGAATCAGAAGACCTGGATTTGAATCCTGGTTCTGCCACGGGTGTTCTTGGACCCCATTCAAGAGTTGGTTATAATAATCCCTTTAGGTGTGGGGATGGAACAGAGAACATTCTTTGGAAACCTTAAGATGCCTTGCAAACTGTTAACCTCTGTGGAGCAGTTATCTATCTCATCAGCATGTCATGACCCAGGGCTGTGTTCTAAATGGGGGGATGGGGGAGGGGAGAGAGAACAAACTAGTTCAGATTTAGGAAAGGGTGAGGTTGGCTGCCTCCTTTCTCTCCCCAGGATGAGTTTGGGCCTTGCGGGGAGCCTCGGGCCATCTCCTCCCCTTATACCCCAAACAGTGCGTTCTTAATCCTTTCTTCTGGCCACGGGTGGGTGAAGGATAAGGACTAAAGCAATCTGGGCACGGGGTTAGTGTGGTGGCCATCCTGGCACCTCCATTCTCCCTTCCTGGAGGCTGGTGGCCTCATTCCCTCTGTGGGTCCCCCTAGTGTGCTGTCTTCCCCCCAAGGCCTTCTGTGGGAGGGGAGCCTTCCCCATGGGTTTACCCTCCCCAGCTGGGCGTGGCCCCCGGCTGCTCCTGGGGGTGTGGCCTGTTGGGTCCTCCTGGGTGTTGAGGAGGCCCCAGAGAGCCCCCCATCCGCAAGGGGGAGGCAGCTTGTGTGACACCCCCTCCCTCACAGTGAGTGACTTTGTTTCGAGCTCAAGGTAAGGAATGAGAGGCCTGGGTTGGACAAGTGGCTTCCGTGTCCCAGGCCACCTTCCCTCTCAGCTACCTGCTGTCTCCCTCCTCCTTTCTGGACCTGCTTGTCTGGTGGCGTGGTTGCCAGGTGCCAAACGGCACCTGCCCTCCCAGTGACCCATCCAAGAGATGCTAGAGGTGGCTGTTCCCGGATAGGCTTCCTTCGAGGGAGGGGCAGCAGGGAGGAGGTGGGGCCCGGCTGGGGCTTAGTGCCCTTCCCTGTGCCTTGCTGCCCGGCCGGTAGGCAGCTGCACCCCTGCAGGGGTCCTCCACCCTGGGGCTGAGTGGGGGACCTTGGAGGGGCACGTCCTTCCCTCCAAGCCTGTTTCCAAACCTGTGAATAAGAGGAGAATACCAGACCCCCAGGACTGCGGAGCCCATGTGGATGGAAAGGCTAGCAGTGTGCGCGGGTGTCAGAGAGGAGGGAGGGGATGGTCGAGGGGAGAGGGCTTGCTCTCCCCAGGTGGGCGCCCCTCGCACCTCTCCCCCAGCCCCTGTTGTCGCAGGTGCCGTCCGGACGGAGGCGGTTCCTGAGGGAGCACGCGGCCCCCTTCTCTGCCTTCCTCACCGACAGCTTCGGCCGGCGCCACAGCTACCTGCGGATCTCCCTCACTGAGAAGTGCAACCTCAGATGTGAGTCGCCCTCCTGGGCTCCTGTCCCTCTGCTGCAGTAGCCCCTAAATCACCCCGTGTCTGGGAATCCTTCTCAATCCTCCCCATTCCTTTTTCTAGAAAACTCCACCTGCCCTTCTTCCTTGCTTGCCAGGTGGGGTTCATGGGCAAGGTAGGGGTCAAGGGTGAGTTTTATGATCCTGGAAGCTGGGTTCTACTTGGGATTAGGTTGGAGAACAGAATTGCTGTTGGGTTTAGGATTGAGGTTGGCCTGGGATCTCCCACTTTTCGGGGCTCTTTCCCCTCCCTCCTGTTTCCTTGCGGTCCCCACGGTTCAGGACGTGGCATGGGGACTGCTGGACGGTGTAAACAAGTGAGATAGGCAGCAGTGCCAGCTATAAAGACACCCCAACCCCAGTCCCGTGAGACGAGTTGTCTGGGGCCAGGCTAGTACACAGAGTCCTTGTTTCATAACCCCACGCGGAGTGCTCTGGGCCAGATCCACCGCTGGAGGGGCTTCCGAAGTTGTTTGTCCATCTGTCCTGCCTTCCTTCCCTCCCTCCTTCTCTTCTTCCTTCCTTTCTCTCACTGTAGCTCACAATAAGAAATACATTTACTTCGTGGCCCAGTAAATACGTGCATGTGTAGTAAATGTTTAACCAAACAATACCCATTACGTGCAGTACTGATGTTCTGATGTTGTTACCTAATCTGCTCCATCTTAAAAGACCAATTCTGGACCTTTCACTGATTTGACTGAATGACCCCCTAGCGGATCCTGACCACTGGTACTGATTAAACCCGTACCATGGGAACTGATGGGAGGAGGTGGTGCCCCCTCACTGGCCAGGGCTCGCCTCATTTATCCCCTTCTGCTACCTCGCCCTGAACAGGTGGTACCTCAGTTTTCCAACCTGTGAAATGGGACTGATGGTCGCCTGTAGGAGACAAACTGGGTGTGAGAACATGTGTAGCCACAGAGGAGAGCAGCTTTGCCCAGGCCAGGGAGCACCTCCCAACCCCCTTCACCTTAGGACACATAGAGAAGGGTCCCTGTTTGTCAAAACCAGATGAAATGAAGGAGATGAACGATGGCAGAAGGAATGGGCCCAGGGCCCTGGCCTTTCATGTCTCGGCCTGCCCTACCTCCAGCCAGGCTGAGCTGTCAGCCTCATTTATCATCTTTAAGCCCTGAGGGACAGCAAGGCCAGTTGGGGAAGGGGTGTTAAATTTTGTAGGTGAGAGTGGTGAGCCTCAAAGAGAATCTGGCCTAGGGCTTGTGCCTCCTCAGACTTGGCCGGGTCTTTCCTCATGGCTGGGGTGGGGTTCAGGAGACACTTGTGGCCTGGTGGGGGAGTTGGGGACTGGTGACATCGCAGCCTGACCGCTGCAGTCACTTCCTTCCTCCACGTCCCCTCCCTCCCCTCAGGTCAATACTGCATGCCCGAGGAGGGTGTCCCTCTGACCCCCAAGGCGGACCTGCTGACCACAGAGGAGATCCTAACCCTGGCCCGCCTCTTTGTGAAAGAAGGTGTAGACAAGATCCGACTCACGGGCGGGGAGCCGCTCATTCGGCCGGACGTGGTGGACATCGTGGGTGAGTTGACAGAAGTCGTCACCACCTCTCCCAGCTGTGCCTCCTCTAGCTGGGCTCCAATATTAATATCAGAAGCTAACAGTCCTTTTGGGCATTATGCTCACAGAGTCCTACGCCTTCTGAGACAGGTACCATTCCTATTCCCAGTTTGTAAAGAATTGAGGCACAAAGAAGTTCAGTAACTGGCCCACGGTCACAAAGCTGGTAAGCGCCAGAGCCCAGTGGTTTGATGTCAAATTTAGACTAAAGTCCTCACCAGGGCTTGGAGGCCCGCGTGATCCGGTTCCCGTCAACCGCAGAGACCTCTCTGCTGCCGCTTGGCCTCCGTCCTCCCCTGCATTCATGCTGCCGGGCCTTTGCACACGCTGTTCCCTTTGCCAGGAGCACAGGGCTCCCTGCCTGCCTCATTCAGGGGTCTGCTCCCGTGTCGTCTCCTTGGGGAGACCTCCTTGGCTGCTCTGTCTAAATTCCCCCTCACATACCCCAGCTGCTCTGTCTCCCAGGAGTTGGCAGGGTACAGACCATGGACCAAAACCAGGCCACCACCTGTGTGTGTGTGGCCTGCAAGCTAAGAATAGTTTCTATATTTTTAAATGATTGAAAAAGAAAATCAAAAGAATAGCATTTGTGGCACTTGAAAATTATATGAAATTTAAAATTCACTGTCCATTAATAAAGTTTTATTGGCACATAGCCACACCTACTCATTTACATATCTCCCCTGTTGCAGAGCTAAGTTGCCACAAAGACCATATGGCCAGCAAAGCCAAAAGTGTTTACTGTCTGGCCTTTTAACAGAAAAAGTGTGGCAATCCTACTCTATCACGTGGTGTTATTTGTTTGGTTTTTGTCTGTCTCCTCATTTACTAGCATGAAAGCTCTCATGGAGCTGGGCAGGTTCTATTCACAGCTGTGTTTCGAGCACCTAGGGAAGAGCCTACACACAGTTGGGGCTCACTGGTGTTTGCTGGATGAGTGAAGGTGGTTCAAATATATGATCTCTGAAGGATGACGTGTCCACGTGTGAATCTCAGCTGCACCTCATACTAGTAGTATATCTTTTTTTTTTTTGCGGTACGCGGGCCTCTCACTGTTGTGGCCTCTCCCGTTGCGGAGCACAGGCTCCGGACGCGCAGGTTCAGCGGCCATGGCTCACGGGCCCAGCCGCTCCGCGGCACGTGGGATCTTCCGGGACTGGGGCACGAACCCGTGTCCCCTGCATCGGCAGGCAGACTCTCAACCACTGCACCTCCAGGGAAGCCCTAGTAGTATATCTTGAGCAACTTTTAAAGTCCGTCCTAAGCCTTCAGACAGGGTAACCTACCTTATAGGGTGGACCTTGGGAGGAAATGAGAAGGAAATGCCCAGCTAGTGGCGAGTGCTGTGTATGGCCCAGCAGAGCCTCTTGCCATAGGCTGGTTCTAAGCCCCGAGGTCAGGCAGAGACCATGAGCATTTAATTGTGAAAGATGGAATCCGAGGAAAATAAGTTTCCATGTTCTTGACTGCTGAGGCCCCGGCTCCAGCTGCTCGGGGTGGGATCTCCCAGCCCCCAGCTCTCTGCCTCACTTGCTGGTTCAGTAAACGTTCTCTGGAACGCCTTCTTACGTGCCCGGCACTGTGCTGGCGTCAGAGGGGAGTGAGCTGCAGGCCCAGCCTTCAGGGACCCCCAGCCCATTGGCGGAAGCAGCCCCTGGAGCCTGCCGCCATCTGGTGAGGAGCCCAGGTGCTGTGGGAGCCCCGAGGAGGGGCCCAGGGACCCCTGCAAGCTCTTTCCTCCCTCTTTCCCTGTGGCCAGCTCCCTCCCACCCCCACCGATCGCTTGATCTGGAATCCTGCCATCATTCCTAGGCTACACATGCTGGCCCAGGGGAGTTGACCTGACCCCCTGTTCAGGCAGCTCCTCAGAGCCTGAAAAGCAGCCTGGGTTCCAGGAAAGGGCCAAACCTGGCTGGCTGCCAGGCCCCAGCCCCCTCGGTCAGGGCACTTCATCTGCCCTCTGTCCAGGGCCTGTGGGCGAGCCTGTGATCACTGCTGGTCAGAGGGGGGTGACTGAGTGCAGATGGGAGGATGCAGAATCTCCACGGAAGCCACCACCTTGCTTAGTAGGAGGCCAGGGAGCCAGGAGAGGCGGCAGCCCTGTTCCCGCTCTGGGCTCTTCCACCCCCTGGCCGGGTGAACTTGTGCAGGTTCCTGCCCCACCCTGGGCCTCAGTGTCCTAATCTATGCGCTGGTCACCTCCCAGCCTTTCCTGCTCTGATGGCCCTGGGTTGTTGGTCCTGGCTGATAGCGTGAGGCTGGCAAGGGTTTATCACCACATAGATGCTGGTTAGGACAGGGACCAGCCGCAGTGACTGACTTTGGAGGGTTTATCTCTTGCTTTAAGGGCGTGCACTGATGGGGCAGGGGTGGGGTGGGGGGAACTCTACCCCTCCCCAAGCCCTCCCCCAGTGCTCCAAGACAAAGGGCAGTTGATGTGTTTGCTAACACTTTGACATCTCCCAGCCTAGCTCCTTTGATCCTCCCCAGGGGTACTTCTTCAGAGCAAAATCACCCTGAAGGGCAGGGCAGGTGGGGCTATTAGGGAAGAAGGGCTGGGGTAAGTGGAGGGGCATGTTCTTAAGCACTTGCCCCGCCCTCCCAGCTGAGAGCTTCGAGGGACCCCACCCCGGGGGCGCAGAGTGAAGGGGCTGCTGGTTTCACCAAGCAGGCTGTCCTGGTCACTCGGGGTCCCTGCCTGAGGCTGTCAGCCCCGGGACTGGTGTTGTCGATCTCCACCTGAGAAGACAGCTCAGCTCTCCGTCAGCCGTCTGTGATCCCCTCCACCAACCCCAAGACGCTCCGGCACTCCTCCATCCCGGCTTGTGTATGAACAAGTTCCTCTCCTCCCTCCTTTTCTTGGGTGTAAGGCAGTGCTGTCCAATAACAACTTTCTGGGGTGATGGAAATGTTCTCTATCTGTGTTGTCTGATAAGGTAGCCAGCCTTGGGCTTCACAAGCGGCTGTTGTGACTGAGGAACTGAATTTGGAACTTTATTTTCATTGATGTAAATGCCCACGTGTAGTTAGCGGCTGCCACGTTGGATGGTGAAGGTTTGAGATTTTCCAAAAGAAATTAAAAGAGGGGAACTATAGGCACACTTACTTTATGGTGCTTTGCTTTACCGCCCTTTACAGATACTGCGTTTTTTTTTTAACAAATTGAAGGTTTGTGGCAACCCTGCATCGAGCAAGTCTATCGGTGCCGTTTATCCAACAGCATTTGCTCACTTTGTATCTCTGTGTCACAGTTTGGTAATTCTCACAATATTTCCAACACTTTCATTATTTTTGTTATGGTGATCTGTGATCAGTTATCTTTGTTACTACTGCAACTCCCTGAAGGCTTAATAGTAGTAATTTTTAGCAATGAAGTATTTTTTAATAAAAGTATGTACTTTTTTTTAGACTAATGCTATTGCACACTTAATAGACTCAAGGATAGTGTAGACATAACTCTTACATGCACTGGGAAACCAGGAAAACCCATGTGACTTGCTTTATTGTGATATGTGCTTTATTGCAGTGGTCTGGAACCAAACCCACAATATCCCCAAGGTATGCCTGTAAACATACAAGTATCAATACTGTGATAGTGTTGGCAGTGTTTGCAGAGGAAGGATTTGGGGTTCTAATTTCAAGGCTGACTTCCGCTGTCAGATGACAGCTTAGTTGGAGAATCACTCAGTCCTGCAGGCTTTCCCTGTTTTGTCCTCCCTTCCTTTCGTCCGTTATGTTGAAGAAATGAATGATGGAGCATCCAGGTCTCACAGCTTAGAGCCCATAAGAGGCCTAATGCAATGGAGAGCAGCCATTGAAGGCTTTGAAATGGCGTGAAGTTTTTTGTTTCCTTTTATTTTTGATGGACTCTAGTTACCTAGAATTAGATTAAATCATAATCCTGGGTTTGTGACATAATCTCATTATTGATCCGTGCATGGCCTTTTTTACTTTATTCATACAAATTTATTTACATGTTTTAATAATGTTATGAATTCCTAAGGAAACCCACTACCTCATTAATTTTTTTGGAAGAATCAAACCCTGGCAAGAATCTTTAACCACCTCTGTGGACTTCCCTACCCTGTACTTCCTCCCTCCCAAGGAAACACTCCTCAACGTGGTGTTTATCATTCCCTTGCTTTTTAAAACTGAGATGGTGTTTTTGAACTTTATAAGAATCGTGCTGTGTGCAGTCTTTCAGGAATCACTCTTTTGACGCAACTGAAATGAACATATGTCATCCAGAGCTGCAGTTCATTTTCTCTGCGACCTCCTGTTCCATGAAATGAATACACCACACTTCCTGTTAGTGAACATTTGGGTTGTTTCCAGTTTATTGATATTATAAACAGTGCTGCTTTAAATACGTGTATTCTCATTCATGTGTCTCGGTATACAATTTCTCTAGGAGTGGAGTTTGCTGGGTTACTGAATATGTGAATGTTTAATCTTGGCGAACCATCCGGCATTGTCTTCCAGGGGCTGTGCTACTTTACACTGTCCCCAGCAGTACCTAAGGATCCCCTGGATCCTCCCCGACATTCAGTATTATCATTCTGGACCTTTGCCAGTGGACTGGGTATAAAATGCTATTTTATTGTGGTCTTGACTTGTGCTTCTTTGTTTAGAATGAGGTCAGTCATCTTGTCACCTATTAGCCGTGTATATTTATTTTTCTCTTCAATGCCAAATCGTATCACGTGCCTGTTTTTCTATTTGGTTATTTATGCTTTCATATTGGTTTGTTCCAAGTTCTTGATGTATGTTGCAAACGTCTTCTTCCAATTTGAAAAGCAAGCCATACTTTATGTAACAATTCTTTTGACAGTGGTAGTTCTTGAATTTGTCAGTTCTGTCTTTTATGGTTAGTGCTTTTTGTACTTATTAATGAAACACCTCACCCAAGGTCAGAACAACTACCTATGTTTCTACTAGAATATTTAAAGTTTTGCTTTTTGC